ACGCAGTACGTGTTTACTATAATTAGACATAGTCTTTACCTTGCCGTTTATTCGGTGTTATTTGCTTACTTTACTTCCTATGTCGACAGCAACTACGAGTTTAGTATTATGGCAGCAAAATAAGGTCACTCGTAAGTTGGTCCTCAAAATTATGTGTTTATATTATTTGTTTGCAAACATACTAGCTGTCAACATTGGAAATAAAACAAGTGTATAAGACGGAATATAGGGTGAGATAAATATAGCGGGGGGGTACCACCAAATATATATGGTGTACTATACTGAATGAAAGTGAATATGTACCGCACGCCCGGGACTACACGCGTACGTGTTGGTGTTTAATCCCATGAAAAAATGCAAACTGTCGCATTCAAATACTAATGTGAGTTGGTGGTACACATTGCATATCAGGCAGTGATGGCGCTAGACTCTGATCTGCGCTTTTGACGTGGGTTAAATAGACTACGGTGTCGCGCTGCTTTTGCTTTTTTGTTTATGCTAGGGTTTTATGCAAGCGTGCGTAGAACGCGCTCTCGTTTCACGCGTATACGTCAACTCTTCACACGAGAGTTTGCGCGTTACCTAGCAATCCGTAAGCGTCACACCCAAAAGAAAAATCGAATGGCATTGTACTATAAACATTCTATGTATAAAATTTGCACAGAGCATACACGCAAGTATTTTCATCTGTTTATAAAACGTTTATTTCTGCGTTGAGAATGTCGTCAAAGCAAATGAATAAGAGGCATGTGGTAAGCCGAGATGCAAAACCCCGTGGAAGAAAATTAGTTTTTTGTGGAACCAATAGAAGTCCTCTGAATCGCAACAGCACAGATGGTTATCGAAAAGTGCAGAGGCGAAAGCGTTGGCAGAACTCGAGTCAGGTATGAAGCAGTAATTGCGTAACTGTATTCCTGTGTTTATTACGATTACGATATTTCGCAATATAACTTAGATATACTACTTGACTGTCAATACATTAAAGTAGGCAAAAAATAAATGTGATTGCGTAGTTTGACATGTTTACTTCATTTGAACTTTCAGACACGCGAACCTGAACATATTATTAAGAAATGTAACAAACGGAAGGTGGTTGTTATTGAAGACAGTGATGACATCATGAAGAAAGTAATGTCAGGAATTGAAAGTATTCGTAAAACTGTGGACACTAATTCTCCGTCGATGCCTCCAAGAAAACGCCGGGCTTCTCCTGATTTGGGTCCACTTGCCGGGTGGCTTAGAGTTGAGGTGAGTTGCCGCCATTTGATTTTAATTTTAACTATAAAGTTAATATTGACATTGTTTATATAATGTAATGTCAAATTATAAACTTGAATTCGTGTCTTTTAACGTAATTTTTTTTTATTAGGATACCGTAAAATCATCATCTAAGTTGCCTAAACGTCCAAGTGCTAAGTCTGCTCCCAAAACCGACGAGGACAGCGGGAAAAATTATAAATACCGTTCCATTCTAGTGAAGAACCGTGGAGCTAAGCCGTATGAAAGACCATCTGATGGTCGTTCGACTAAAGGATTATCGCCAACTTCTCCGAGTCGACAAGAACCAACAACGTCTTCTCATCCAACCCGCGAATTAGAAGATCCACTGCCAGTGAGTGTTGAGGAAACTGTTGATACTCCCTCTGGTGATACACCGCCAACGTCTGTTGTGACACATGACAACGGAATAACGATGCCGTACGAGCAATTTAAACAGCTACATGAACAAAATCAGCAACGGTATTTCCACGAATATCATATACAACAGTCACTGCTATGTCCACAGCAATTACGTCATCAAATGGAGGCATTGCGGTACGAATATATTCGTGACTCCAAAAACAACACGGCGCCTTTACAGGTACGTACGAAATAATACATCATCGGTTACTAGTATTTCACTAAACTTGTATCAGTGAGCACCTTTATATAAAGACCATCTGGCTACAGTGGCAACTGTTGGGTCAGTCCCAATGTGATGGACCATTAGTGACCACTCCTTTGGCAATACGTAGTTTGGTCAAATGAACCTTTGTGTAAAAAAGCCAACATTTCGAAAGACAATTATATCTTTAGTGTTTTGCAAATATGTATATTTCGTATTCATTCATATACCTGAAATACACATCAATTATTATCGTCACATTGTTATTCATGAATTAATCAATCAACCTGCATATAAAGACCATAAGTTTATAAATCACAATGTCTTGTCTTGTTTTTCAGCGTCTCACCACGTACCGAGAATCATTATTATACTGATATATTTTTTTCTGTTGATTCAGAGAAAAAATACTCACCTTGTAAATAACTTATTTTATTTGCCAGATTATTCACGGTTCTCAGTGTTCTGTGTGTTCCGTGATTGTCAAACAACGACCACATCTTATTGGATGCCATCCTTTGGACGCAAGTGTTGGTTATCGTGAAGAAAATTATTTAAAACGTCGTCACTTAGAACTTGAAAGAATAAATCCAGAACGACAGAGAAGGCAAGAGGAGCCGCCCACCAAAACACTCGTCAACGGTAAAGGACAAAACATCTTTAACGGAAGTCGCCTAAACTCACTGGTAAATATAAACTTTGTGCGTTGTATTTGTACAATATTGTTGAACAAGCACGCCACTTTGTACCACTCAGATTGTTCTGATTGAGGATTGTCCCCGCAGGTCCTAGTTGGCGCATCGATAACAACTATAGCGCCACCAATGGTGAAACAATGGCAATTGAAGGGAGAAAGGAAGAAAGGGGATAGTCGTCGCGCCGCCATACGCGACATTTGTGTTGAGAAACATCGATTAAAAAAAACCTAACTAAAGCTTGGTAACAGCTCAGTTTGTACTCGTTGGTGTGCGCAACAGTCAAAATCGCCATCTTTGTTTGTATGAGACCCATATCTCGCGCACGCGCGGCGCGACGACTACCGCCCTTTAAGTTTTCACATTGTCGTGATTTTGTTGCACTTAAACCCAGGGGCGAGTTCAGAGGGATTTAATATACAAATTTCTACTTTCGCCTGAAACCGAATTATTGTTTTTTTATTAATTATGCCAGGAAAGAAACGAATTTTGAATCAACTTAGTAGTAGAAATTATAAAATATTGACTTATTTGTCATTCATAGGTCGACACAGAAACTTACACCCAGGCATTCATTTCGAAGTCACGAGCTGAACATGTATTATCACCTGAGTCACGTGACGTCACTTCCTGCCTTGAGAGAGAAACGTCTAACGACTTGTTCTGTGATAAACAGTACAAGGAAAGGTAAGCGGCCATTCACCTGTTTAACTTAAACACAAAAATGATTTTGTTAATAAGATTTGTTTAAAATTTGGCGTGATTGGAAATAAAAAAAATTGAAATATATACACGCACGAGATTGTTGATCACGGATTAGCCTGACAAGGTCGCGTGAGTTGCGCCCTCCGCGGTGCTCCAAATCTAACCTACGACTGACAGAACGATGTTGTTTTTCACTTCCCCGACGATTTTTTGACGGCACCAATCAAATTGCATGAACGTCAGATAGTGACAGCCATCTAAAAGTAACCCGGCCTCTCACAACAGAGTAGCCTGGCTTGGTCGGGGTGTTACCATGACCACCAAAATGAATATTCATCAAACTCATTGCAAGAAGGCGTGAACTTCGCAGTATTGATCTTACCGACGAGACTGACACTATTCTGTCAGGCGTTAGTGGGGACTGATGCCGTTTAGCCGACGAGGACGCCACTTACGTCTACATGTTAGGCTAATCACGGATCTGCTTTTTAAAAGTTCGAGCTACAACTTGATGATATTTCACCCATTTGAATTCAAAATGGCCGATCGTCGCCATGATAACGGGCTCAGTGACCCATTCTTGATTTTCTTATTTTGAATTTCGAATATACAAATCATATTTGACATTGAATGTTTATTTATTTTGTTCCCAGGGTTCAAAGTTCAAGTTCTGCCAATGTTGTCACAAAACACACCGTGAGTTCTGAAGGAGAATCAGAATGTGGATACGACAATCAAGAGGATCCCGACGAACTGTTTCTCTAAAATAACTCGTTTATGGCCGCGGATGATTTTCGGAAATTGATGCCTGGAAACACTCGTAACTCAATGATGCCAGCTGATACTAACACTACAGATCAGCACCCAGCTCGGACGCAGTCACTGCATCGTCAAGGAATAGATGGAACTGTGAAACAGGTGACTGCCGGAAGACAATGTCATGACTATTAATACCATACAGGGAAACTCGGTTATATAGGCGTAGTTTATTTAATATTAAGAATAAAATATTAATTATATCAATTAATCTCTGTGGTTATATTTAGTGGCCTATATTTGTGGTCATTGTTTAAACTACGCTTCAACCCCATATTATCCGTCGCCTATACTATTATCCAATTCGCTTACATAGTGGTTAAGGAGTTATTTGGAGACATCCTAACAAAATCGATCGAATCTGTGACGTAGAATGTCCAGTTACCACCTTGTACCTTTTATTATACATCTCAAATAGTGATATTTTATATATTTCAAGTTCAACGCGTCAAAAATTGAAGCGTACGCCCTCTACAGATGCATTTTGGAAAGTACAAATTGCTACATGTAGTACTTTGAGGAATGGTAGGTAGAATAGACGAAAATTACTAAATCTTTCAAGAATCGAGTCGAAAGCAATTTCCAAGTTTTAAAAAAGTGTCCCCTAACGCAATTAGCATTTTTAATTGTTTGATTTTTAATTTTGTTACGTTGCTGAGCGCCCACTAGTGTCCATTCCGCGCTATGAACCGTGGATTCGTAAACCCGTTTAGGTTCTCTTACTTGATTCCCCTGGCATTATC